GCCAATGCTGGGCTGTGAGTCCTTTACACCTTTCGACAAGAACGCTTCCAAGATTAGCATCGTTATCCCCATTTGACAGATAAAAAGACTGGACACCAGAAAGGTGAAAAGGCTTGCCCGAGATCACCCAGCTAGGAGGCAAGGGGGCTGAGCTGAAAGCCTGGTGAGAACACTCCAGCTCCCCTTCCCGCCCTCCACACCTTGTTCCAGGTTGAACCCTCCGTCTCTTCCCGCAGCCTTGGGACCACACCTCTCCTTCATGGTCTCTGGACACTCGCCACATCACCTGGACGGTGGGACAGGCATCTCCGGGGACTTCAGATTCTCAGAGTGTCAGAGAGGCATCCTCAGGGATCACCTGCTCCCAACACTCTTGCTTTGCAAACCGAGGCCCAGAAAGGCTTGGGGGCTTGTTCTGAGTCCTAGGTGCCGCCAGACCCAGAAGCCCTCAAGTCAGTTTTTCTTCCACCATTTTGCATTGGCTTGAACTTCCCCACTCTGGGAGAGCGGTGGGGGACAAAATCTCCAAAGTCCACAGCAGAGAAGGAGGGACAGCACTGGACGGATTCCTGAGGTGGCTCCAGCAGCCCTCCCGCTCACACGAGCGTCACATGGATCGCAGCCTCTGGGCCGGGTCAGCAGAGCCCGGGCACAGACCCAGAACGCTTGGCTGCCCGTCACGACTCCTTTCTACATTTCTCGTGCCCTTGCAACCCATCTCTTTTCTCCTTTCGAGGCTGTTTAAAGAATAAAATGAGAGACTCTGAAACAGGATCACAGATTCCGATGCCTACAGCAGCCAGGCATGTGCTTTAAATTACCAGAGTCTGGGCCAGGCGCAAGCCGGCAGGGAGCAGTGGGGACTGGAACACACTGAGAAGCACAGCCTTAGCCAAAGGGGATGCCCGCACCCACACCCAGCCAGTTGTTGCCACATCCGACTGCAGCTGGGCCTTCCAATTTGTCAAGAGAAGCCGGAGGTCTAGGTTTTTAAATAAAATATTCTGTTTTTAAGCACTATGAAGCAATTTTTAAAAATGTAAATACACCTACTGACTGATTCAGCCCCCAATCCACCACTTACACCCTCTGCTTCAGAAAATTAAAATCTCTCCGGCAGGGACGTCACTGCGCCCCGAGCTGCACGCCAGCCCCACGAGGCCTGTTCTGTCATGGCCAAGCATAGCGGAAGGAGCCTTCTGGCCGAAACGACAACCGACATCAACTGTTTGAAATTAGGCATGTCTGTGCAACCTGCCACCCGTCTTCACGTCCGCAGTCTGCACCGCTATTAGCAGCTGGGCTTCACGGCGTGATGAGGACAGCAGGCAGAGGCCTGCACAGCGTCACCGTTCTCATCCTGTCATTAATGAGAGTCAGTTTACATGAGCGCCAAGTGCTGATAAGGGTGTCTGAGGCCCATCACTGTAGCTGCTCCATAGAGCAGACAATTTATTGGACAGCCAAGTCCAGCCCATTAGTCATGGACTATTAGAAGACGTTTCAGATGTTGTCTTCAAACCATCTTTTGAAACCCATTAGACATGAACTTCACGCAGGTAATAGCAGGGAGGGTGGGAGCTGAGGGTCGCCTGGCAGCCAATGCAACAATTTCCACCCAGACACCCGCATGGACTTTTCGAGTCTTGGTGCCTGGGGGCCAGGAGACCTGGGGGGGTGCATTCAAGGCAACCTCTAGCCAACTCTGGAGGCTTGAGGAGTCCCAGGGCACCTCCAGGCTTCAGTACGCTTCTCTGTAAGATAAGTGCATCGCACAGGGGACTCTGAAGACACCTTCCAGCTAGGGTGAGCTGACCGGAATCCCGTGTACTCGGGACTGTCCTGGTCTCACCACTGAAAGTCCCTCGTCTCAGGAAACCTAGCGGTCCCAGGCACACCCGGTGCTTCGTCACCTCACTTCCAGCTCTGACTTTTAAACACCCATCAGACCGAGGAACGTGAGGGCACCTCTCACTGTCAAAGCTCGGCAATAAACACCAAGGTGGCATGGACACGTCAGGAGTGGTCAGGCCTTCTGAGAACCTCACAAGGGCTGGTCCCTCTGTCAGGAGCCTTTGCCTAAATGCCTTGAGTTTTCATGACACCCGAAGTGGGTTGAAAAGTGGGGGGGGGGGGGCGTGAGAGCCTAAGTTCTTTGCAGATTCTTTTGTGGGAGAACAAACTATTGCTGTTTCCCTCTCGGGCTGAGTTTATTGCCACACACGTCTACTGAGGGGCTTTCTAAGTGCAAGGCCCTGGGGACGGGGACAGCAGGGAGTGGTCGCTGAGAGGAAGCCGCCTGCCCTCAAAGCTGACCAAGTTCCGTCAGGGACGCAGCTGTAGCACTGTGTATGGGGTCGTTTTCTACCCTGCCTTTGTGCTGTTTTATAGGAGGTAGAGAGGGATCAACGGATGTGACTTACGGTCTCAGGGACAACACGTACGTGAGCTCTCCAAGTGCTTCACGTAACATGACTCCCTGGGCTCCTGTTAAAATGCAGTTCTGATCCTGTGAGGCCTGAGCCTTACGTTTCTAACAAGGGCCTGGTGATGCTGAGGCTGGACCGGGGACCACACCTTGAGCAGCCAGGGGCTGGGTGACTGACTCCTGAGGCCAGAAGCTGGGTCTGACTCATCTTTTACCCACAGGAACAAACACGCTCTTCGGCGGAGTCAAGCGGATAGGGAACAGACGAGCGAGGCACCATTTAACCTGGCCTGACCGCCCAGACCCCCAGACCACGCTGCTCTCACCCCAGGCTCCCTGCAGCCCCAGACATCCCGTTTAGCCCAGTCCGCACGTCTGAGAATATTCGTCATGTTGATGGAACTGCCCCGGAACAGAACTGATCACGCAGGTAAAGATGACCGCAACCCAAGCCCAAGCCCTCTCCGCCCAATCCGCCAGGCCACAGAGGAGGTCCCGCCCCTTCTTCATCAGGCCCCAAGCAGGTGACTCCTTGGTTCTTCCCCCTTCTCCACACGCCAGCCTCCCCAGCGACTCGAGAACTTTGTATTTGTAAGCTACCTTTGCTCCAATTCGAAAACCATTAAAATAATCACAGATAAGTACAAGGATGTGCAATCTGGCTTGGTCTATAAATACGAAAAATTAGGAAAAGCCTTGTCAAAAATAGGGCTTGATTGAGTAATTTAAGGCATATCTATTAGATGGAACATTTGAGAACCATATTTTTGCATGTCAACCACAGGAAGTGATCACCCCATGATAGCAATTTTAAGTACAAGGTTGCAAAACTACCTAGAGAATATAACACTGATTTTGTGAGAAAAAATATTCCATAGAGGAAAGCTCAAGAGAAACTGTCTAAAAATCTTAACAGGTTGCTGTTGGGAGTGGGGGTCACAGTGTTTTATCTTCCAGTTTGTCCTTTGGTGACATAGTCAAACGTGGGGCTCTGGACACAGATTTCTGGGTTCCAATCCCAGCTCCACCACCAGTTAGCTTTGTGGACCCAGGCAAGGTCTGAGCCCGCCGTGCCTCAGTTTCCCCTCTGTGATATGGTTTGGAGGGCGGACCTCGGAAAGGTCTGCGGGGAACGAACCGGTCCAGGAATTAAGGGGGAGATGCAAGGACCCATCATGAGACAAACCTGGGGCGCCTCAGACACCCTCCTCAACCCCCGCTCAGGTACAACACGCACGTGCACGCACACACACGCCCTATTTCAAGCTCGACTGGCGCCCTGGTCCTGTCTGAGATGTGGGTGCCAGAGTAGGGCCTCGCCGCCTCTTTGCTTCTGTCTGGCCCTCGCCCTGCCCAGGGAGCAGGTGGCGAAGGAGCTGCAGGTGGGGAAGCAGCCTCTTCATGAAGACAGAGCTCCCGGCTGCGGGCCTCCCCTTGCTGGGTCAGCCCCAGGCTCAGGCTCCATGGGCAGTGTCCTGGGATGCAGAAGGGCAGGGTTGGCCACATGGGAAACCGAGGGGGCACCACCACTGTCCAGTTGTTTTCTGCGAAGGTCCCTGTGGGTCCCTCCGCATGACATCACAGCAAGCCTTTGTGCAGAAGGAAAAACAAAACCCAGGGGACTTGATTCGGCTCCGATATGCACATACACAGGTTGGGATTTTCTAAATGACAGCACCTGTTAATTGTCTGGTTAGGTATGACCTATTAAACATTTACCGCCCATTTCCTGTACACGTCTGGTGAGGCCGGCAGGAAATTTAGAACAAATTAAACAGCAGCTGCAATCCCTCATGCTTTAATGGTCCCCCCACGATTCTGTGCGGCATTGTAAAATATTAGGGGCAGATCCGTCAGGGACAGGAGGGTCTCCTCAAGCAAGCCTCCACGCCCTCATCCTCCTGCCAACCAGGCCCCATAAAGTTAAATTGGCCAGGGCGCATCTCCCCCTTCCCTGCTCCCCCACTGCCGTATATTTCAGGGGAGGCTTTTTCATCCGCACACCCCACTCACCCTCCTCTCTGTTCCCCCACCCCCTCCCAGCCGTTCCCACACGATTTCACATGTGGTCCGAGAGGGGCACTTCCTGCCGTTATAAAAAGCAAAACCAAGACCCCAGCAAAAACAGGCTGTGCACAGAACACCCAAGTTGACAGTGTGAGAGAGAAGGCCTAATCCATTCCATATGACAAACAGCAGCGGCCCGCAGGGGAGGCCCAGCCCTGCGGAGAATTCACAACAGTCCCTCCTCCGCCCCTGTCCGCCTTCCCAACCCCCCCCCCCCCCCACTCCCTCCTCAAGTGGACCCTTCAAAACAGGAGAAAAATATTCTTAGGAGCACGCCCCTAACTTTAAACTGATTATGTTTGGGTTTAATAGCCTACTATGCATTGTTCTTTCTTCACTTTGAAAATAAACTCTAGGAAGCATTAATGCAAATACAATATAAACACGCTCGTTCCTAAATTTTCGCATCTCCCTGGTGTGTTTGGGTTTGCGCCTTAAGATCGTGGCTCAGCTTGATGTAAGAACCAGATGGATCTTTAAATTGGAAGCTTTGCAAATAGCTCACCGTGTAAATAGACAGCTGTCCGGATGATGTGAGGGGAGGCGAAAGCACCCCCCAAGAATACGGCTGTTAGTAACCGCTTCCATTGTCCTTCTGGGAACAGCAGAACGGAGAAGGTCTGTCCAAGTCCTCTCCGGTGGTTCTGCTGAAAAAGGACAGACGTTGCCTCAGTTGTAGAAGGAGGTGTAATTACAGAGGTTCGGATTTTAAGACAATGAAAAGAACAGATTTCTGTGCCAACCATACTTTAGTCAATGTTTTCACATCTCTGTAGATAACCTTTGATGCTGGGTGATGGACAAACGTGCTTCATTCTTTCAGTCCCACCACTAGCAGCTCAGCCAGGGTGCCAAGCCTTAACCTGCTTATCAGCCACCACGTCCAAAATAGAACTTTTCGACTTCCTGTTTCCTACTTCCTGCTTCCTGCCCCCCAGTTCCATAAACCATTCTCCTTCAGAGGCGGTAAAAATGGAAAGGACGAGATGAAAGAGTCCGTCAAAAGATTTACACTGGCCCATAAAAGTCTCCTCAGTGTTCCATAGACTAAACTGTCAGTCCTGCCTTCACGGGAACTTTTACTGAGTAGTCAATCTGAATTTTGTCTATCATTCCATTAAAACCTATGAGGCCAACCGTTTGTGGTGTGGTTGTTCTGGATGACTTGACAAATTAGTCTAGTAAATTTTGGGTGTCTTAAGTACTAAATTAGGTCATTTGTTTAATGAGCCAATCCACTGCCCAGAGTTTGACCTCAGCCCACGAAGGGGAGTTCACATGGAGTTCCAAGGCGGGGGCCTGGGTCCCTCATTTGTCTTCTGCTTCTAGAGAAAGTCCTCTCAAGCCAGGACTGGACAACAAATTCCACCCTTAATGCTGACTTGTTAGTGACGATCAGCAAAGCAAACTCCTTTGCTCCAGTCCCTCTCCCTCCCATCCTCCTCCTGCACTGCTGCTGTCACGGTCACTGTCACCCACCTGCATCGCCTCACCTGGCCTCCCAGTGACCCCACAGTGGTGAGCTGGTGGCGTCACCGTCTCCTCTTCTAAATGAGAAAGTAAATCTTGGAAATGCTAATCTCCCCAAGGGCACATTCAATCTCTCAGCCTCACTCATCCGTTACCTCTTTCAATAAATATTTAGTAAGCATCCCCTAGGTGTCAGGCCTGGGGTTCCAGAGCTGACTAAGCCATGGTCATGGCTTTCAAGAGCTTCATCAGTCGGTTGAATAGTCACGCATATCAATAAATGTAATACAATTCTACAGTTGCCGTAATTCCGGTGGACCGAAGGTACACGTAGGGCACAAAGGAATAAGCAACCACCTTTGTCCTAACACGCTCCCTGAATTATGTACATGAAATCCAGCCTCTTCACTGATACCCACCCACCAGCATGGCATCCACTCACAAGTTTATGTGTGTGAACTTGTTACCTTCCAGCCATCAGAGCTTCCTTACTGGTTCTGGGCGTATATACTATAAGGGGATTGGCATTCACAGTCAGAACTCAAAAGAACGGCCAACCCCCCAACTGCTCTGTCAGTTGGCCACTGCTCCCTTCTGGGCAGAAGGACAGTGTCGCTGAGATATACAACCAAGAGCTCCTTGAGGGCACGACTGGGTCATTTTCATCCGTGACCAACAGTGCTAAAGACAGAACATGGAACATAGCAGTTTCTCCCTAAATGTCTATTGATTTGAAAAGCTTTGATTTGAATGAGTTCTTTGAACACCAGTTATACATGTAGGTTCTATGTGGTAACTCTCTGTTAACCAGATCATTCGATTTAGTGGAGTCATTGTTCCTTGTAGCACAAATGGGATGACATGAGCTTGCTGTAGACTCTCCAATAATGACCATCTTCACTCAAGAATCGATCGTAGGTTTAGACATGCACAGAACCTTAATTTAGCAAGAGAGAGTATAGGGGCCATCTTCCGTTATTATTTTATCCAATATCCCCACACTTGGTAGCGTTCCATTTCCTGTCTGCCTTACTCTCCATAGTTAAGGACCGATCATCCCAAGCCCGGCGAGTAATCAATCCACAACACACGCTCCTCTGGGGCAATAGTTTGTTTTATTATTTTGTAAAGGGCTCCTGAGATAGCTAACTGGGAAGAGGGACTTCTGGGGGGTGGTATGCTGAGGACCCTTACAAAGGGTTGTCACATGTGGGACAACTGCAGTGTGACTGTCAAAGTGACAGCCTCCCGTGGCTGCCTTCACAAACCCCCACCCCGAGCCAGGTGGGAGTTCACTCTTCTGTCCTCTGCCTAAATATACACGGACAGGGTCAGAGGCCAAACCGGAGGTTTAGGTGTTTAGGAAAAACAAGAACCATTGAATAATTGCCTGGTGTACTTAGACCATGGGTGGTAACAATGCCAAAGAAATCGTTTGTTTAAACTTTCTGTATTTGGTGCAGGTATGTAAAAGCTCAAATCAGACACACACATACAGAGAGAGAGATTCGTGTATGTGCACACACATTGACATGGACCTTGAAAATAATATATGAAGGTAGAGGTAACCCTCAACGAGGGTCTGAAAGAGACTCTAAATCTGTCTAACTGAGGCGTCAATGTCCCCTCTTTCTGCCCCACCACCCCAGTCCCTACTGGTTCATCCCTTCTCTGCACGCCCTGGAGTGAACCAATCACCCAAACCAGGCTACAAGCGGGTTGAGGACAATGCCTGTGCTTTTTCCTCAATTTTAACTGAAGTGTTATAAACACATAGTAAAGCACGCAACAGCTTAGTGAATTTTTAAATATGTAAACCCTGGTGTAGCTACCACCCAGATCAAGATAGGGAGTATTTCCAGTACAGCAGGAGGCTCTCCCGTACCTCTTCCCAATCAACATCTCCAAGGGAACCCCCATCACCATGAGTACCATCAGTGTTGCCCGCTGTCTAACTTCACGTGAGCAGAACCCCACAGTCTTGTGGTAGGACCTCCTTCACTCATTGTTAGCTTGTGAGAGACATTCGCGTGTGTGCAGAGGAGTTCTGTTCTTTTCTATTGCTGTGAACGTAATCCCTTCTGTGAATGTACCGCAATTTATTTACCCATTCTGTAACTGATGCACGTCTGGGATTTTCTCACTTGGGGTTATTGTGAACAAAGCTGCTATGGGTGTTTTTGGTCCACATGTGTCTCTGGTGGATGTACAGATTCATTTCTCTGGGGTGTATATGCTGGGTCATAGAATAGGTGGATGTTTAGTTTCGAAGGTACTGCCACCCGGTTTTCCAAGGTGTCTAATGATCATGCTGCTTGTAACAGGGCATCCACGGCTGTTTTTAACCCTTTAGCCCTGTGGGTTTAAGGCTATGTCTTCTTTCTTCTCAAAGCCTCCTTAATGTCTATTTGTCAACACTTGCCGAGCCTTCCAAGTGGCGGGTGTGTGAGCCTCCCTCCTTCCGCCGGCTGCCCCGTGAAATGAGCAGAGCGCGGCGGCTCGAAGCGCCAGTCTGGTCACGTGGCTTCCTTCACAGCTGGGTGGCATTTCAGATGCTCCATTTCCCCAAACCTCCATAAAGTGGCAGCAGCCATCATGTCTTCCACCTTCTAAGGTTGTCTGGGGATAAAATGAGGTAGGTAAAGCCTGCAAGGTGAGCAGCACAGTAAACGCTCCATACAAGGCAGCGATGGTGGTCGGCGCTGGCGTAAAAACGCCAGCAAAGCAGGCGTTGCCAGCTTGCGCACTCTGGCGTGTCGGGTGCTCCACGATGCTTACTGCCCCAGCATTCTGGGCTCCGCGTCGCCGCCCGGGGTCTCCTGTTCTCATCCAGCTCCGCGGGTGCAGGGGAGGTAGTAAGAACGCTGCTCCTGTCCACTCCTGGTAGGAGAGATCCTGGGGCCCCAGGGCTTCAGTGGTCCTTGTAAAGCCCAAGAGGAGCACCGGGGAGCAGACCAGGCACAGATGCCCCCCTCCTGGCACTGCGGCTCAAATCTCAATCCCGGCTCTGAGGGCTGAGTTGAATGCCACGTAGGAGGATGTTTTCCTTTCGGTCCTTTGCTTTGCTTTTTGGTTTCAGTAGGGGAAGCCCCCTCACCATCACCTCTTCCCACCCCCCTGAACAAAAACACCATTCTCCACGCTGAACTTTGCCCCGGCGCAGGGGGGTCTGGCTTCCTTTGCCACGAAGCCTGTCAGGTTTCGATTAGGCCAGGGAAACACCACAGGAAATGAGTCAAAGAAAGGAAGGCTGTGATTTTTTTTTAATTTCAAATACCAGATTTATTATTTTTTTTTTTAAATGACAGTGTCCCGACCGTGCCAGGTCGAGGAGGAATGTGGAAAATGTGCAACTCGAAACGTCTGGGGGGCAGCTGGATCCTCCAATTGTTTCTAATAAAAACCCATGGGAAGCTCTCAGCGGCCCCCAGGAAGACAGTGCACCCGCTGGAGGCCACGGACGCCGGGTCCTGGGCGACGTTTGGGCACAGAGGTGGCCAGTGTGGCTGGGCTTCTCCGACCTCCGTCTCCTGGCCTGGCCACGTGGCGGCCATGTGATGGGCTGGCCACCTTCCCTGCCTCCGAAGGGCTGTCATGACTACTTAACGCTCTAACCCTTGTGAACCTCAGTTCTTTTGCAGAAAGCACAGAATATACAGGCCATTCAAACCCTTCCATACACAAATGCCATCAGAACTGCCTGTGAGTGGAGGCGGCGTTAGCATGGTTGGGGCCACAGGTGTCGCATTCCACGCTGGCTCTGCCACTTCTGCGCTGTGACGCCCCGAGCGAGTGATAGAACCTTCCTGGGCTTCCATTTCTTCCTCAGCAAAGCAGGAGTTACTCGTTACACCTGCTCTGTGCCAGCCATTCTCAGTGCCTGCCATGGGGTAACTTAGTCCCCATCTAAGGAGGCGGGCACTCTTATTAGCCCCATGTTACAGACGAGGAAACTGAGGCAGAGACGTTAGACAAGTCTCCCTAGGTGACACAGCCGTGGTGCGATTACGTCAGTCTGTGCCAAACCAGAGAAACAGAACCAGAGGGAGACAGATAAGAAGAGATTTAGCTCAAGAATTGGCTTAGTGATAGTGGGGCTGGCCAGACAAGTCCAGAATCCGCAGGCCAGACCCCCAGGAGGGCAGCTGGTAGCTGGCACTGCGCAGCGCGTAGCCCTTTCAGACGGGCTTCTTTCCCTTAGCAATATGCTAAGTGCCGCTCCACGCTTTAGCATTTAAGCTTCCTCTGTGGCTTTTCAGGCCTTGAGAGCTCATTTCTATCTAGTGCTGAATAATATTCCACTGCCTGGACGTGCCACAGTTTATTTATCCGCTCACCTACCTACGGGCATCTTGGCTGCTTCCAAGTTTTGGTGATTATGAAAAAAGCTGCTATAAACATCCACGTGCAGGTTTTTGTGTGAACGTAAGTTTTCAATCCTTTGGAGAAATAGCAAGGAGCACGACTGCTGGATCGTGTGGTAAGAGTATATTTAGCTTTGGAAGGAACTGCCAGACTGTCCTCCAAATGTCTGTACCATTTTGCCTTCCCCCGATCATACTGCTAATAATACCTCCTTCTATGAAGGGCATGGTGTAGGGGTGGGTATACAGGTGGTGAGCTAACGCAGGTGAGCTAAGATCATCCCTGCCATGCACAGGTGTCCCTCTGTGGGAGCCTGTCCACACACCAGTCCTGCCCGGGGGGGACCGGCGGGGTGAAGTTAACCCCACAAGATCTCTGTTCTCTCCCAAGCTGCGGAGGCTTGCCGAGAAGCTCCCGGTGTAGACGGCGCCCCATGCCTCTCGGCAGCCACCCCAGCACACACTCTCTCGATTTCAGCCCAGGTCACAGCAGGTTCAGTTATTTGAACTGCTTCAGGCATCCGTGTCCTGCGGGCCTCCGGATAGAGAGGCCGGAGGAGACACTGAGGACGAAATCATGCTGCTCTGGCCTGGGCGAGTGTTTCTTACTTTTCATTTGCAAATAAAAACAATCAGGCCATCCAAGGCCAACAAACAGGGCTGCCTCCCCAGCTGCTCAGCTGGCTGGTCCCTCCCCAGCTGCAGGCTGAGGCCCTGGTGTAAGCAGGCCCCGTTAGGGCCTGGGACACAGGAGCACCTGCAAATCCCAGGATGGAGGCAGCCAGGCCCAGGGGAGGCCCGCACAGGGCCTTATGTAGCTCTTTAGGGCCCAGGACGTATTTTCCAGGTGAGGTCTATGAAAGAGCAGCAGTGATGGCGGTCCTCGCCATCGTCGGGGCAAGCGTCTCGAGTGCTTCCTGATCGCCTACTGCATGCCTCGCTAAGTGCTTTGCCCACAGTCTTGCGTGGCCTCCAAGCTGCCCCGTGACCTGGGTGCTGCTACAGGCACAGAACCTGAGGCTCGGAGGGGTCCCGTGGCCTGCCTGGGGTCACCAGCTGTTGAAGGCCAACCTGGGGGTTCAGACTTAGGTTTCCGTGACGCCAGGGCTCACGGCACATGGCAGTCCGTGAACAACTGTTGACAGGTAAACGGAGAGCAAGTGCTGTCACTTAGTATGGAAAAAGCCCTTCCGCGTCCTCGCTCCGGACTGACACCAGCAGCAGTGCACTGGACGAGGAGGACGCACAGCGCATCCACAAGCTTCCAACTTCCTGATGGGCTCCATTTAGTGTCAACATGGCTTAACTCTTTAACCAGATCATTGAAGCGCTGGCCCAGTGTCCCGGGCCTGGACACCCTCCCACCTTGCTGGAATGGTAATTCGCCAGCAGGCAGCCCCCGGGAGGCCCTGCCCTTCTTTTTAAAGAGGTTCCAAATGGCCCCCAAATCGTGTCTTTCTTCCTTGAGGCTCGGGCAATTTGGGTGTCACGGGGGCCTTTGTAGAGACGTCAATGGATTATTTCACGAGAAGAAACCCCCTCTTTACACCCTGACGTGGCTTCTGCTATGGAGATGAAAGATCCAGGGAGGCAGGCTGGAAAACAGATAATTCACGGGACTGTCAGAGCGCGATGATCTGAATTTCATTCACAGCAGGCAGAGCCAAGGGGAGGGGCCAGAGATCCCGCCCGGGGGTCTTGCTCCAGGGGGAAGCGGGCTGAGCTCTCAAGTGCCGAAGTGATAATCCAGCCCGCGGGGAGGGGTGGGGGGCGGACAAAGCTGGACATTTTGTCTTCACTGTCAGAACGCCACAAGCTCAGGAGCAGATGGAGTGGTGTCGGCAGTCGTAAAACGCCCCACCCCACCAGGGACAAGCAGGTTAACAGAAGGGATTGGCGCCATGCACGTCATAAAAGCCCTGCAGGCCTGTCATGTTCCGATAAATCTTGATTTGGTAACGGAACAGCGCTCTGGTTCCCAGCCTTGGGTTTCACAGGTGAGCCGTGGGCTGATGGATGGTGTGGAAGCCAGTGGGGGAAGGGGGCAGGGGGAACCTCACCCGCCCACCCCTACCCCCCCTTGGATTCCCAGCACCAGGCAGGAAACCCAGCCTGCAAGAGGCCAGGGGAGCCGTGGGTTCTCTCTCCCCATCCACGCTGGAATGCTGCAAGGCCACCGGCTCCATCCTCATCTCCTGGCCCTCGTGCTGGTAGCAAACTGTAGGAGCCCAATAAGCACTGTCTCTTCTCAGTTAGGCTTCCGGGCTTGCCTACCCATCAGAGAGGGGCTGTTGAGGAAGACAAGGCCCTGCTCTGCACACACAGGCTTGCTAGCCCTGCCCGGCACCCTGCACCCCACATCAGCCCCCCGAGGAAGGCGCACTTTTTCAGAATCCATCTGCCCAGGGGGGGCACTTTGGAGCCATCTGTCCGTCCAGAGGTGCTGACGTTTGTATTTTGCATGAAGGCGCCATCTTGCTGGCAAGAGCCTGGTGAAATGTCCACTCTGAACACTTTCAAATAAAGGACAGGGCCCGGAGGTGACACGGATGAGTGGGGCAGGCCAGGTGGGAGGAACCCACGGCCTGGAGTCAGGTGCAAGAGGGAGCATCATGGGGTCATGCCCACCAAGGGCACATGATCCAGTGGTTGCCAGGAGGGACTCAGACCTTCTGACATTGAGAAGGAAGACACAATCTGGACTTCTCCTGATTAGTAAGTATTAAGGAGTCATTCAGATGTGAAATATGGTGCAGCATTTAGCAAGAGAGCCCAGGCAGGCAGCTTGGCCCTGACAGCCCCAGGCCTGGGTTCTGCGGTAGGATCTCAGAGCACAGAGCACAGAGAAGAAGGTCCTATAACTAAGGGGCTCACAGGAAGCCCCTTCCCCTCTGAGACCCAGTGGCCTCACATTTCCGGTCCTGCCTCCAAGCCGCCTGCCCACTTTCCTGTCTGCGCCCCCGCCACTGGTCCTCCTGGGCTTCACGGTGAGTTCTCTGCAGTTCCCAGAGGGACCCTGCTCTCTGGCCTCGGCCATTTCCCTTCCTGAGGCCCCTGCCCCCGCCTCCCTGCACTTGGACCCCACCTCCCACTGCACCTCACGTTTCAACTCAAACGTACGTTGTGTGCCTGTGGTCCCTTCTCCTTCCTCACTGCCCACTGGCCCCAAGTTGCAAACCCTTGGGCCTTGCCTGCCCCCCCCCCCCCCCCCCCCCCCCCCCCGGCCCTTAAGCTCCCTGAGGGCCGCGGCCCCCTCCCTGAGTTATCCCAGTGTCCCCCCCCACCCCCGCCATGCCACCAGTTCCAGCCAGCCAGCAAGGGTGGCCCCCAGGGCTCAGACACACCCCGCCCGGGCTGGCCAAGCACCCCAGGGGGCCTTGGAGGTAGTGGTGACTCGGAACCAGGACAGAGGAGACACGAGGGGCGACGGCCAGCATCTAGTCCACGGCTGTCTGTTAACCAGTTGTGCACCATGGAGACGGGAAGCAGACTTGGGGGTCGTAGGTCTCGGGAATGAGGGGGCTGGGGGGATAGCTGAAGGGTGCAGGGGTGCTCTGAGGGTGATGAAACGGCCCCGAAATTTACTGGGGGATGGCTGCACATACCTGTGAGTATTCGAAACACCACTCAATTGTACACGTCACATGGGTGACTCGTATGGACGCAAATTATATCTCCGTGAGGCTGTTAGGAAAAGGCTTGAAAACGGAATCCCATGGCCTGTCATGACGGAAGGCAGTGGAGGGTAGGACCCCCAGGCGCCCTAGCTGTGCTATTCGCTGACGGGGGCCTGTCCCTCCCGCCTCCCTGGACCAGCGTTTCCTCGTGCAGGAAGGGTGATGAGCTGTGTGCCCCTTAGAGGGCGTTCAGACAATTAAACACGAGGTAACGGAGTGCAGTGCTTGGCACGACAACCTTGTAAATTCTCAAGAAATGGCGAGAAGGGAGTGATTATCGTTGTCCCAGCGTGAACGTGGACCAGGTGCCCGCGAGTCAGCACTTGTTTCTGCGGCAGCCCTGCCGGGCCGTCCCGTCAGCACCTGGCTGCTGGGGAGGGCGGGCTTCCTTCCTGAAGGGGTGGTGATGCAGGAGCCGCTGCCCTTCCGTCAAGGCAGCGCTGAGCTCTCCCCCAGAGATAAGCGCCGCCTGCTCGGCCACACCGTAATCGACAGCAAGCCCCCGGGCTCGTGAGCTCTCCTGGCTGCCAGGAGGAGCGAGGGCCGGAGGATGATTTATGAAAGAGAAGGAAATGTAATAATGCGTGGCCGGCCCGCCAACAGCATAAATCTCTCTGGGGATTGTGGAAAGGATGGATTCCTCCCTCTCTGGGCCTTGAGAAAGGGCATCCTCCAGGTTCACCGGAGTCTGAGAAATAACCACGGACATTAAATCAAAGCTTACCTGCACTCAAGTCACACAGGAACCCGCTGGCTGAGGAAAATCACCATCCCGTGGGCCTGAAACGAGGGGCTTGGGTTAGTGGCATGCTGGGAAAGAAGTCTGGCTGCAGTCAGGCGATGGATGAAGACCACCCAGCAGGGGCCTGGGTTCAAATCCAGACCCCACCACTCACTAGCTCTGAGGCCTTGGACTAGCTCCGGGTCCTCGGTTCTCTGCTTCAATTGCTTTCTCTGGAACCCCCGCATGGCATTCTAGTGGGGACTGCCTGGGCCACCTGAGTAAAGCTCTTGGGAGGGAGACTGGCTGCTACTGTGGCCGTGCATTTGCCCTGCAGCATCTCAGGTAATCACCAACACTCTCAAGAAAGAGGAATTATTATTAGTCCCATTCTACAGATATGAAAACAGAGGCCCAGAGCATGGCCTAACTCCTCCAAGGCTCCCCAGTGGGGACCGCCTGACCCTCACCGCACTGCCTTCCAGCAGGCTGAACCGGGAATTCGAAATCCTGCGGTCTCGTCTCTGACTTCTCACGGGTGGGCCCCAGGGCCTCCCGCACGGCCCTCACGCTACCATTTGTTAGGACTGACTGCAGCAAGAACAGATGTCCCCTCACCCCCCAGGGCCTCCACAGCGGCCACGCTCCAGTGGCCTCACACTTATCTCCGCGGGGGCTGTCCTCCGCTGTTCCTCTCCCCATCTGTCCCTCTTGCGCACTGTCCCTCTTCATTTTAATCGAGAAACGTCCATTTCGCCCCACCCGGGGTCTGCACAGTGTATTGGCAGCTTGGAGGTAGGAAACCCGAGCCGGGCACTTCTAGGGAGGGACCCCTTAATGGTTCTAGCAGATGCCGCAGGAGGGAGGGGGCCCAGGCAGCCCCCAGCTGCCCACCCGGAGATAACCCCTGACCCCCTACCTCTCTCATGGGGCCGTCAAAAAGCCCGAGCCCTGGGAAGGCCAATAAATCCTTGGGTGTTGCCCTCTCAGGATCCCGGCCCCTGCCTGGAAGAAGGCATTTAAACTTCTTAAAAGAACTCTTTTCTAAGCCTGCAGGAAGCCGCCTGGGCCCTCGGGGGGCTGAGGGCACTGGTTTCTGCGTCGGTTCTAGGACCTCAGCGCTGCAGAATTCCCTCTGTGCTTGGGCATCCTTGGCCCACAGCCAAGCAGCACCACCCAGGGGCAGGGCGGGGGTGCCTGGGAGCCAAGACAGGGACAGGCGGGCACTGTGCACCCCTTACGCAGGCTTAATCTCACTGCCCACAGAAGGGCCCCTCGCTTACCTCTGGGACACCCAGGGGAGAGGGCAAGAGTCCTTGGGCATAAAGGGGGTTGCTTATTATTCAAGAGGCCACCCAAGTTTAGAGGATAGTATGGAGCTTTTTAATTCCTTTTTAAGGTCATATATTCACATGGTCAAAAATTCAAGATATAAAAAGGTATCTCCCTCTCACCATTTCCCACAGACACCTTCCCAGGCCTACCAATATCTAGAGATCTTTTAGGAATATAAACATATAATTATGTGCATGTAAGTATATGAGTATGTATACTTACGTGTGTAAGTATACACACACACACACACAATCTTGTTGCTTTTCATTCAACTACTTTGGTGATCATTCCATATTGTTATATAAAGAAACCTCATTCCTTTTCATGGTTGCATACTATTCCTTTGAATGGCCCATTCATCATCTATTTATTTAACAGGCCCCCTACTTCATGATAAGGGCCTTCATGATAAACATCCCACTTCCCATAGGCAGCATCCCCGCCATGGCCATCTGGGACTGCCGGGCACTCTCAGGCTCGTCCTCCTTTTTCCTCCTCACAGTCTCTGCAACCCCCTTTGTGGGGTCCAACTCCAGCCTGAGGCTCTGTTCACGGCTGGGTGAGACTCAAGGTCCTTCTGCATCTTCAGAAGCACTCTCCTTGCTGATTTTGACCTCCTTTCACACACCAGAGCTTTCTCTCACATCTATACCGGAAGCATAGTAGGTGCTGGATCATCCTCATTTAAAGGAGGGTAGGAAAGATAAATCCTCATGGAGGGAGTCCCCCTCCACATGCCTCATGGGTCATAAAAGAGCAACAGGTTTTGCCAGAGGGCACTGCACCTCTGCACCTGTCCTGTGGTGGGACAGGAGGGGCCCAGTGGAGCAATGGAGGATTTGGGATCTAAAGATGTGGGTTGGCCTGCTGGCCATCCTGTCTATTAACCTGGGCCACCCTCAGCCACCCCCACCTGTCCAACAGAACAGAACACGCATGGTATGTTCACATGGCAGAAGCATTTAGCTGTTCAATCCTGGGCTCGGAAGTCAGCTCCAACTGGGTCCAAACTCTACCTCTCCTTCTTGGGCAGATACCTTTCCTCTCTGAGCCTCAGTTTGGATAAATGCAATAGGATGCCCTCATGGGCTTACAGGCTTATGTGATGATTAAAGAGATTAAATGCATACATCTAGCCACTCGGCATAAACTAGCGAACGGCAAGTGCTCAAGCCATTTTCGCTTTTATTGTTGTCATTGATGTTGTGCGCTTGGTGCCACAGCAGTGGTGGCTGATCTCTGGACACACTGCGCTCTTCTCCACAGACGTCCCCACAGATCTCCACGCCACTGGCTCAAACCCCAAAGCGCTAGCTGGGCTCGCAGACTTGGACAGCTGGCGGGGTCACCACGTCATCATTCTCCGCAGGTCTGTTCTCTTCCCAAGCTACCACTTGCGTCCTTGCTTGTTGGAGCACACACGATGGCTCTTTGCTGGGAGAATCCTGCCTGGAGGCAGGGGAGTGAACCAAATGACCTTCTGACCTCACTCCCAACCCCAACTCCAGGGTTCAGGATAGCCCAGCATGCACAGGGGCCCACAAAATGAGCCACACTTTCCGGAAGTAGGAGGTTATGCAGCTAATGCAGCGTTCCACAGCTCCCAGGGGCTTTTAGATAAGACTTGCTCCAGGCTCTTTTCTCCCCGGGACTTGTGGAAATCTCTGGGTCTGTCGGACATCAACTTGTCTCCTCCAGATCCCACCAATGACCTTCCATTGACCTTTGGATACCGGCGAGAGAAAACGTCATTTTTCCCCTAACCCACTGAACTCTCAGAAATGACAGAGTGACAGAGGCCAGCCTGGCCTTTCCCACCGTCGCTGTGGCTTAGGGAAGGCACCCACCCCCAGCGAGGCCACGTCACCCAGAGCCCCCTACACCGAAAATGAAGTGAGGTCTTCCTGAGAGGGTGTCTCCTGCGAGGCACGGGAAGAGCGAGCAGGAAGGCCACGGGGCAGCCGATAGGACACCTAAAGGAAGAGGAGGAAACGGCCAGTGGAGTCTAGACGCGTTATCTTGCCCCCTGTGCGGGCACCGGCCCACGCTCATCCATCGTCCCTGGAACTGACTTCCTGCCTCAGGATTTACACCAATGACTTCACCCTCTTGCTATCTCGACAGTCCCGCTGCTGCCCGCTCTGGGCTCTCAGGAATTAGAGGCCAGATAACAAGTCTAGACAGCTCAGAAGTTTTAAATGCATTATCCTCCAGGGGGAGGAGGATGGCTAGCGACTAGCTCTGGGGACTTCAAGGCTGAAACCCTGGACCGCGTTCCGGTTCTGAGTCTGTGTGGGGAGCGTAAGACAACCTCGCTCCGCCTGCCCCTCCGCCCCTCCCTCATCCCCAGCCGCCCGGAGGCTGAAACAGGCACAGAAGAGCCACTCACCACAGACTCTGCTCCACCCGCCATTCATGGGAGCTCCACACCCCACCTCCCTGCCCCCCGTTCAGGGAGGACCCTCGGGGCTGCCTCAACAGAGCTGGATGAAGTCCAAAGGGCCCTCGTGTTCACAACCAAGAGCAGTGGTGAAGCCGCACAAGTGGAAGGGAGCCCGTTCATTCAAACCTCAAGGGTCTCAGATGAAACGCTTGGTGCCCTGCTCGGCAGGTGACCTCGGCATGTACCCCCACCTGCCTGGGGGCCTATGCTGACCTGAATCAAATCCTCTCGCAAGCGACGTGGCAGCCCCCTTTGCCGCCTTCTCCCACCCTTTACGTGTTGAACCATGTCCTCCCCAAATTCCCATGTTGGAATCCCAACGCCCAGTACCTCAGAATGTGCCCTTATTTGGAAATATGATCCTTGCAGATATAATTAGTCAAGATGAGGTCATATTGACGAGGGTGGGCCTCTAATCTAATACAACTGCGTCCTGATAAAAGGGGGGCTGCGGACACAGAGGGCACATAGGGAGAGGCCATATAAAGACAACGGCGGAGATCACGGCGACACGTCTACAAGGCAAAGAGCGCAGGATGGCCAGGGAACCCCCGGAGCTGGGGAGGCCTGGAGCAGGTCCCCCTCGCAGACTTAGACGGAGTCAGCCCTGCCCACACCTTGGTCTCAGACTTGGGGCCTCCAGCCCGTGGGAGAGGACATTTCTGCTGTTGAAGCCCCCATGTGTGGTGCTTTGTTACTGCAACCCCAGCAAACTAATACACACCCCACCTTCCTGAAGGACAGGGCCAGGCGAAGGAGTGCCTGGGGGCTGCAGAGAAACTACAAGCACCCCCTCAGACTGCTGACAACAGAAGGCTTCCCTGCAGTTGTCCAAGCCACAAAGCTGTCCAGTCAGCAGCTCACAGCTGGAAGGCAGAGAGTGGCTCCGTGGGGACCCGGGAAGGTTTTGTCAGCTCAGGACACGGCTGGAGCATCACTGTTGGTGTCCAGCCTGTACCCCTCGGCAGGCGTCGTCCCAGACAGCAATGGCTTCCTCCGGTGCCTGCGGCCTTTTATGGCAGCTTTCTCTGCTACAGACGAGTGTTTGGCCCGCTCACAGACGGGCAGGCCAGAATTGCCAGGGGCCACTGTCCTTGGGAGCAGTCCTCAGTCAGTGACAGTGACCGCTGGTGGGCAACGTCCCAGCTCCCTGGCTGAGCAGCTGAGAAACTCCGAGGGCTGATCCACACAGTACCCCCCAAGCTCTCACTGTGGTCACAGGGCCAAGAATGCACCCGGCACTGGCCCCTCTCTTCCACCTCTCCTTCCCCGATGCCTCCT